AGAGAGAGAGAGAGAGAGAGAGAGAGAGAGACAGACAGACAGACAGACAGACAGACAGACAGACAGACAGACAGACAGACAGACAGACAGACAGACAGACAGACAGACAGACAGAGAAAGTTGGAATAAGACACTCAAATCATAGTAAAATGCGTGCTGCTTTTTTTTTTTTTGGTCATGTACCAAGCAGAGAGCACAACGCACCAAGACACCATCCAAATAAGAGCAATACAATGAACTCGAGTGTCAATGCCGACGTTCTCTGGTCACACGGACTCACACCAACACTCTATCCAATTTCGCTACTACTGTCTGATGCCCAGCGCCCAGCCTACTCTACTCAGCCTATCCTTCCTATCTACGTTCATGCGACTGGATCACATCAAAGTCGAAGACCAATGTACGTGACGTCAACACCAATGCCGACCACCAGCATACACCAGGTACTTTCTCTCTCCTCCCCTCATGACCCCTTGACTCCCTCTGCATGCGCCTCCTACCCGAAGACCACCATCACCATCACCTGCCTGTGCCCCTGCAGCCCAGCTGTGGCTGCTATGCGCCCGCTGCCTCAGCAGCCCCGCTCACCTCAGCGCCCGTGCGCACGTCTGACCAGCAGCGCACATGCAGACACTAGCGCAGCAACGCAGCAGCATGTCCGCATAACCTGCCAAGGCCAGAATGAGCCTGCCTGGGGGAGGCACTTTCCTTTATGGAAAGTGCAGCCCTCTGTCTGCTTGCGTGGGCCTGGCCTGGGAAATTTCCAGTAGCTTCCACTTGGGCCAGGCTGTTGCTTTTTCTGCGAATGCCCGTTCCCGCTTTGTGTCTTATCATTATTTATTTTTTCCAGCTTTAAATTTCTTCCTTTAGAGTCTGAACTGGATATTTATCTTTACTGTGTGTTAAAATCCGGGCCGCCCGGCGGCCCAGCCTTCGTCCGGCAGGGGTCCCGGGCGGCCCGGCCGGTTGGGTCCCCCGGTTTGGCGCCGGGCGGGCCCAGCGCAATTTCACGAGGGGGGGGGGGAAGGCCTTTTTTGCCCAGTCGTAACATCCCCGGCCCCCGTGAACACTTTGTTTCGAACTCAGGCCCAAATGAGGCCGGGGGAAGGGGTCCTTCGGCGACTGATCTCAGCACCCGACCTGCAAAGACCGGCGGCTGCGATCAGCCGCAAGAAAGCCGCAAGAAACGACCTCGTTTCCCCCCATGCTGGCCTACCGCGCCGCTTTCGAATTCGAACGTGGTATCCTCCACTGCGAAGCTGCCGTCACCAAGCCCGCCCGTCGTAGCTGCCTTCTCCAAGCCCGCCGTCCGCTGCTCCTCGTCGAGCTGCCATCGTCGCTCCCAGTTGAGCTGCGCCGTCAAGAACGAACGCACGTCGTCGCTGCCCGTGAAGCGGCTAGCGCCATCGGGGTGAAGCCACCTTCAGCTGCTTCCTCTTTTTCTTCTTCTTCCCCTCCTCCTCCTTTCATCTTCTTCTTCTCCTCTCTTCGTCCTCCTTTCCTCCTCTTCTTGTTCTCCTCCTCCTCCTCCTCCTCCTTTTCCTCCTCCTTTCGTCTTCTTCTCTTCTCCTCCTCCTCCTCCTTCGTTATCCTCTTTTTTGTTTTTTCTTTGGTCATCGCCATCGAAATCCGGCAGGTCCTCCTCCCCCTCCTCTCCTCTTCTTTGTCTTCTTTCCTCCTTTCGTCTTGTCTTTCTCTCCTCTCCTCCTCCTCTCCTCTTTTTCTTCTCCTTCTCCACGTCCTCCATCATCCTCTTTTTTTCTCTTCATCGCCATACACTGCCGGCAGGTCCTCCTCCTCCTCCTCCTCTGTCTTCTTCTCCTCCTCTTCCTCCTCTCGTCTTCTCCTCCTCCTCCTCCGTTCGTCTTCTTCTCTCCTCCAGCCCCTCCTGTCGTCTTCTTCTCTCCTCCTCTTCCTCCTCCTTCAGTCTCGTTCTCTCCTCCTCCTCCTCCTCCTCCTCTGTCTTCTTCTCCTCCTCCTCTTCCTCCTCTCGTCTTCTCCTCCTCCTCCGTT